TAATGAGGAGGGTGAAGGTGAGCCCAGTCGTCCAACACCTCCAGTCACTGCAGAAAATCAACCTGCACCTCCGCGTATTATAACACCCGCCGATGGTGTTCAAGGTGGACCTGGATCTGGTGTCGGTGGGCTTCAAGACATCACTATTAAGGTAACTTAATGCCATCTGACACCTCTTCACTGAAACAAGATGCGGCTGATAAAGCGAATCTTTATTTCCGTAAACAGGCAGGTCAAGAACTCCGAATGCCGGTGGCCTGGTTTGGTCATCCACCACCGACAGCCACATGGCTCCAAAATGGTGAACCAGTAAAACCTGGCGGAGAGCGAAATATTTCTATGACAACGGAACCGCAGCCTCGTTCCACTGAACCTTTGGTTGGTGGAGCGTTGGAGGAAGAACCGGGCGGTACTTCAGTGCTTCGTGTGCCTAAAGCCTCACGAGCCGACTCAGGAGAATGGCAAGTGGTACTTAAGAACGATCTTGGACAGACAACCTCTTCTTGCAGAGTCGTAGTCCTTGGTGAGAATCCTTTCGTCATTTTTCGTATCATGAGTTACAATGACTGTCAATTTGAGTTGAGCCTGGAATTGGGCAACACTGAGTTGGATATTCTTCCTGTCGACCATAATTCTGGGAATAATTTTCTTCAAATAGGGAAGCCTAGTGACATCTAAATTTTTTGCGGAATTGAAGAAGAGTTGAGAAGTTTTGAGGGAACATATTTGAGGATGCTTTCATAGCACCTGAGGGGAGATCTAAAAGAATTAGTGCACAGTTGTTATGCGATCTGATACACCAAAACACTAAAATGTTTGAGAATGACACAACACAAGTGGATATGCGCCGATGGCTTTTCCATTCTCCAGATGTCCCTGCGGCTCCATCTGGACCTTTGGAGGCGACAGATGTTAAAGCTGATGAGATCACTCTGAGCTGGAAACCACCAGAAGACAATGGAGGCGAACCGATCACCAACTACGTCCTTGAGAAACGACCTAAAGGTTTTGGCGAGTAAGTGTCAATCCAGTGTCCTACTTTGAAACTGCTTCTCAATATTTAGTGGCAACTTGTTCACGTGAATAAAGATTACTATAATTATCCCACTCGGACGTTACGATCTAAGCTGAACACGCTCTACTCTTTAAGGTGGCAGAAAGTCAGTGCATTCATTAAGACACCCAATGCTACTGTGCGTGGATTGGAAGAGGGAACGGAGTACGAGTTCCGAGTGATGGCAGAAAACGCTATGGGACTAAGCGAACCTCTCACTACAGAGAAGGCCATTAAAGCCAAGCATCCTTTCGGTGAGTCTAGCCATCAATTTTCACTAGTTTTCTTCCTTGTAAACCCTATTCATCGGCAAATTGGTTATCCTTTTAACCTAGATCCACCCACTGGAATGCAAAAGCCAACTGTCGAGGGTACTACGGAGCATTCTGT